TATTTATACATCCAAGAGCTGAGGTGTAAGCCAGGGGTGGGGAGCAGCAAGAGTATTCACCAGAGACTGAGTGGGGAGCAGAACAGATAAACTGACTGAAATACACTGCTGAGGGGAGCAGCGGGCTATCTGCTGCACCATATGGGTCAACTCCCTGGCAGGGATCAACTGCTGCTTCCATGACTTATACTGATAGCTTGGTAGTACTGAGACTTAATTTACTCTTGTGCCACCATGGAGGCCCCAACAGAAGATAATCTCAATCTCTAGGAGAATTCATGGTTGGCTTTCTATTATTTAATTTTCCATATTGTCTAGAGAGCATTTTAGAAATAAAAAAAAATTAATATTTAGAATGAGAATCATAGCACTGAAATCATCATTTCAGTGTGTTCCATCCTCCTTATTCTATGCTGGGGACACTGACACACAGAGTTGCTACATGTCCTCTGATAGACATGTCTGGATGAGGAGAGTAAGAATTAATCTTCTCCCTTCCAATAGGGCTTTTGACCAGGCTGCTTTATAACTGACAGTATGTCTTTCAGCTTGACACATGATCTTTATTTCTGGTATTTAAAATAACCTGAACTTTGTTTCTTAAATCAGGATAAATCTAGGTTGCTTCTTTGAAAACTTGAAACTTTGGAAACAGGTTTATTGGATAATCCTACTTTCCGCTGGGTCAGATAATTCTATATGTATTGGTGATCTCATTATTTACTTTAGAGAAGGAAGAAGTAAACTGGAAAATGAAAACAAGCATGTCCTCAGACTTTGAATATTTGACTTTGGAATGATACTGTTCTATATTCTCATTTTCTCTGTACTCTGTCATTAACTGTTTTTCAGCACATGGTCCAGGAGTCTGGCTGGGTGTTATTAAGTGCACATAGTTTCAGATTCCCACAGATGACTCATTTTAGGAAAGGTCAGCTGCTCTTCAGAATTATTTTCTACTATAAATTACTTATTTGTTAATTATGTAATCCAAAACTTAGACCTCTACCAAGATACATATTTATTGGGTCTTCAGCCTTTCACTTTAAGCCTTATCTGTGAGGGGAAGAAGTTATCTTGTATATATCCAGAGGATACATAAACTGTTTCTGTTAATTTTTTGCTGCTATTTGAATAATGGTCATGATGGGGGTTAATTAAATTCTCTTAACCAATGATGCCATCTGGTGGTCTAAAGTGCCCATGCAAGCTATACTCACCATTGTGGATCTTTTGTTTTATTTGAATCTTTTTTTTTTGTTTTGTTTGGATCAGTAACTTCAATAACATTTCAGACATCTTTATTACTGAAATTTTAAATAATGCTTTGGTTTTGCAAAAGCAGTAAAGTCACAGATAACTACTAGGATAACACAGCAAATGGAAATGACCATTCTTTTCATTGCAATGAAAGCTGCAGCCGGATATTAAATGGTACATAGTGAACAATTTCCTGTGACCAACACAGGTGTGTCTGTCTGGTCTCCTTTCCTGGGTTTCACCTGCGTCACCACAGTATCTGGTGATTTCAGTGTTCCTCCCATCTGACTCACAGGCTGATCAGGCAACCTGTAATCTCCTTCTGTAGTTTAGGTGCTGAGTGATTCATAACTGAAAGCATTGTGATCTTGTTTTCTTTGAAAGGGTGAAAGTTCTCAAAAGAATATACTGCAGCATGATGGAAATCATTGCCTCCTTGATTAATAGCATGATTTTATAACATCTTCATGGTGGATTTTCTGCCCAACCAGTTTATGTACTTCTCTTCCCAACCCCTTCTCCAATCCCTAAACCTCAAAGTTGAGATAGTCAGAGCAACTGATCTTGAGTACAAGCCAAGAAAAGTTAACTCAGAAGCTTATCAGGATTAGCATGGTGATTGTGAGGTCAGGATTTCCTACAGGCATCTTCCAGTGAACTCTGTTGGTTACGAGGTCTGTCTAATCTATATTAAAGACTAAGAATTGAGGACAAGATAGCAAATTATCATGAATCTGAAGCTTAGGTTAATTTGCGTTCCTTTCCACACTCTTAGCTAACTTGGGTGTTTACGGATATCACTTTTGATTAATGAGCTATCCTAGGCATTGAGAACATTCAGTAAGATCTTCTATCCAATCTTATCACTATCAAAGAAAAGCTAAATTATTTGGACTCAAGCCATCCCTGGTGGCGCAATGGGTTAAAAGAATAGCACTCTGATGCTATCTGCAGCCACTGCAACATGAGTTCAATTCCTGGCCAGACAGGTGGCCCACGTGGTGTGGCAGACCTCTCCTGACCCACCCGCTGCTCCCCTCAGCAGTGCATTTCAGTCAGTATATCCTGTTCTGCTCCTCACTCTGTCTCTGGCGAACCGTCTCATCCCTTGTGCATCTGGTCTGTACCCCAGTTCTTGTATGCATAAATAAATAAACCTTTAACAATTATTTGGACTCATCAAACATGTTATATATATAGACTGCATTCTGAGTAGGGTCAGAGTGAGATTAATTTTTGTCTGTAGATGAGGCTAAGTGTAATATGTAACTAATATATTCTATTAATTATTGTGGTTTTATTATTTTTTTGATGAGAAGCATGCTCTCCAACTGATGAATTCAAAATTGCAGGCATACCTCGGAAATACCATAGATTCAGTTCCAGACTGCTACAATAAAGTGAATATTTTTGTTTCCCAGTACATAGAAAAGTTATGTTTATACTATACTATACTATACTTGTAAAGTAGATAAAAGTACTTCACCTAAAATATATGCACATACTTTAAAAATACTTTTTTGCTAAAAAGTGATGAGTTCATCTAAACCTTAAGCAAATTATAATCTTTCTACAACAAACTTTCAGTTTGTTTTTTTAAAAAGGCAGTATCTGTGAGGTGCAATAAAATAAGGCACATCTATAGTTTAAAATCTGAATTGCTTGTGATATACTCTGACAACATAGAATATCTGACATATTGCACTAAGGCTTATAGTCATACACCATGGTTTGTTGTCAGAGCTGGGTATTTAAAATGTGCGAGTCTAGGCTCACACAATTTCTTGGCTCACTCTCTCAAAAATGTGAGGTATTTTAGCAGGTAGCTGTGTATGTGTATCATCTATTAAGATTTAAAAGCTAGCACTAACATATAAGTTTCCCCATGAAGTCCATGGACTTCATAAATCCATGGATGAGATTATATGTGTCTATAATATTGGTAAATAGTGAGTAAATCTCATAAAAATGAATTCTTATGAATTCTTCTCTTAATGTGCCTTTCCTTCTCCAACTTTCACAACTCCCACTGGTGTTAGGGTTGGGTCAATTTTTTATTGTCTCTTATCTAAACTAAGATACAATCTTGCCTAATATTTTTACTCACATTTCTTGTCTTTTATATGTATTCAGTATTCCTGAGTAGGTGCACAGGGATAAGACAAGTGCTAAGAGAGAAAGAAAGATGAAAGACTTTGAGTTTAGTGAAAAAAAAAAAAAATACAAATGTAAAATGAGTAGCTTCAATGTAATGCATTTTTTCAAAAAAAGAGAATATTTCTTTCAAATGGTAAGTTCAGCAGGAGAGGAGCAATTTGAGATGATCCTTAAGGAATATGAGTAGAATTTTTATTTACAGAGACTGAGAAAGGGGTTTAGAAGAAGGAGCCAGAGAAGAAATGGGATGTGTTCAGGAGCTGCATTAATCAGTGTTAGTAAGAACAAAAGTCTTGTGTCAGGCAGTAAGAGAGAAAAATCACTAGAGTCTCTGGAGACTGTGTAGTGGGGAGGCATAGCCTGGGAGAGGGGGCGGAGTCTACTTTCCTAGGAAAGGAATTTGTGTTAATTTGATAGGTAATGGAAGCCTTCCAATATTTCTCAACAGAGAAGGGTTACCTTGAAATCCTTGGTAACAATGACATTCCCCCCTTGGTATTAAAGATTTACTAAATATAATAACGTATCTACTCTGCTTTTTCCCCCATAGTATAAGAACTATTGTACTACACTACTCTTACGGAGTATCTTTGTATAGACTTTGGCCCTGTGGGCATTTTGGTTCAGTTAATTCTATGTTGTAGGATTTTCCTGTGTATGACAGGATGTTTGGTAGTGCTGCTTGCCTCAAACCATTAGATTCTCCCGTAATGATGTCTCCTTTCCCCCAGTATGACTGTCAGAATTGTCTCCAGATATTTCCAGATGTCTCCTGGGGGACAAACTCACCGCCATTTAAGAATCAATGTACTAGACACATGTATCAAGTGCCTTGATGTTCTGAGTATTGTTAGACACTTAGAGCAACAAATCTAAGAGTTCCTTCAGCTTCCAGTCTATTAACACTTGAAATAATATACGATATACACATATGATCTTAAGATTAAGGTATTTTATATGTTTTTGAGTAAGACAGCTGAACTGGGAATCAGGAGAGCTGATTTTGGTCCTGTCTGCCACAGAAAAGTTGTATGACTTGAGCAAGAACTTATACTCACTAACCTGATTCCTCACCAGTGAAATGACCAGTGTGATTGCCAATGCTTTTTTCAATGTCCTGTTCCAAATTGACCTCAGGGTTTATTTTTTCACTTTTTAAAGAAGTTAACGTAGAATTCCACCAGCATGTATGTATGTATGTATGTATATATATATATATAAAAGATTTATTTATTTGTGCATACAGAACTGGGGTACAGGCCAGAGGCTCAGGGGCGGTGAGAGGCTTCACCAGAGACAGAGTGGGGAACAGAACAGGCAGATGAATGAAGTACACTGCTGGGGGAGCAGCGGGCGGGCCAGGAGAGGTCTGCCACGCCATGTGGTCACCTCCGGGGCAGGCGGGAATCGAACTCATGCGAAAGTGGCTTTAGATTCTCAGTGCTGTGGTTCAACCCGCTGCGCCACCAGGGAGGGCCCAGCATGTATATTAACTGGCAAAAGTGATGGAAGTATTGAATGATAAATGTTTTTTCCTTAGTGCTTTAAGTGTACTAAATGCTACAATTTTTCCCCCTTTTCAGATTATTTGAAAAATCTCTTAGAAGATTCTGGAGATTATAGACACACTAAAGGTAAGTGATTTTTGTGGTCTCCTATGTTACAGAGCTTTTTATGTTTCTGTGGACCCTGAATGTGAATATAAACCAGTAACTAAGCCCGTATACTAAACTCTTTTCATTAGAAACTTTTAAAAAACATTTTATTTTGGATGAATTTAAGTAGAACTAAGGTGGTAATATATTGCTGGATGCATGGAAGTGTATAGGGACATGGAAGATACATGGCCAGCTTACCATGGGTGCCATTCTCCTGAGAGAGTGTACCCAGCATGCATGGCCTGGGGTGAGGAAGCTTCATCTCATCAAGCTTGGTCACTCTGTGCCCGTGGCAAGTTCTCCTTCTCTAGATGTCTAAGTGCTTGCTAAAAGCAGACAGTTGACCAGTAAGATTGAATCAGTTGACCAGCAAGCTTATTTTTGGCTTTATAATTATGAATCCTTGACATGATCAAACCATACAAATCAAAAATAATGTCTAAAATAGCACGTTATTCTGGGGTTGTTAATAGTCCTTTACAACACAAAAGTCTCATTGATGTTCATGGGATAATCCAGAGAGAGAGAGTGTTTCTGTAGTCAGGCTACAAGTATTTCTTTCCACAATTTACATCCAGACTACCCCTTTCAAATGTCTTGTATATTCCTGGAAAAGCACATTAAGGAATGTCCACTCCTATGAATTGTATCAATTTTTATCATATTCTTGTGCATTTTTTACATACTCAGTTTACAACACTGAAAAGGCTTTTAATCCATTTTCTAGAAAGTCTTTCTAAAACAGATAGCTTTGAAGTAAGGTACACCAAGCAACATAAAATCACTTCAAAAAAGGGAGAAAAGTGTAGAGATTGAAGAGGCAGGTTTTGTTTAGAGCAAAGGACCTGGAGATGAGTCGAGAGTGCCAAGAAAGAAAATGGGCATTGCTAACTAGAGTGTGTCTCTTGAGGATAAACATTGTAGACAGGTCTTAGCAAACGGGGTCTCAAGAAAGCGGTCCCAACGTTTTCCCTTTAAAAAGAGTGAGTTGCTAGCTCTTTTTTACAGATAAAACAAATATAATGTCAGCGATTAAAAAGCTTGTTGAAAGCAAATGATACAATTCTACAAAGACATGGATTAGAGTAAGTGGTGAACAGTGAGGCCCATGTCTGGACAGAGGCATGGCAGTAAGGTGGTAGGCAGTTGAAATTGTCCCCGACGGAGGAAAAAATGAGACAGGTGTACCTTGAAAAGGGAGGCATAGGGCTAAAGAAACAGCCAGCAAAACTGTTTAAAGGGGTGACTTGGTAAAGTGAATTGCAAAGTGGAGAGATTAGAACTTAGAAACCCTGGGACCAAATAGCAGTTTACCAGTTCAGTCTATTCATTAAACTCTCAACCTATTCCCCTGCTTACTGGGACCTCAAGCAGGCAGAAAGCAGGACATGTGTCCAGAGTAACTTCTTAAATATCTACCATGATGAGAGTGCAGGTGCAACAAATTCTTATCTTTGATTGGGGACTATAATGACCTGCTACATTCCTTTAATACAGGGGACAATCACATATGTATGGAGAATGTAGAGGCCATCAGGGTTGGTACCAGAAAGAGAATTCTTGGTGGGCTATAGTAGCTCGTCAAAAAAACCCCTAAATCCTTTTCCAGAAATTGATCTCCTTTTCTTCTTTTTAAATTGTCTTTTCATTGATGGTTATTGTCACTGCACACTGGCTTCCCTCTTTAACATGGCTACTTTTTCTCATTAGGAGTGCTGCTATCACACTATATAGGGTAACCTTGGTGGTGTATTGTAGGGTGTTTACATCTCTGACTCCTACCCACTAAAGGTCAAGGAGCTTTCTAGTCATTGTGTCAACCAAAATTTGTCCCTATAATTGTGTAAATATCAGTTGGGGGGCACTGTTTTCTTGGATCAAAAATGTTCTGAACAATCAGAAACAAAATACAGACTTTCCCTCTCTATATACAGACATGAAGTAGAGTATGTGAAGCATAGCATGTCTGGCCAGAGGCATAGCAGTAAGGTGATGAGCAGTTGATGATTTTGCGTAAGAGGGAGAAAAAAATGAGACAAATGTACTTTAAAAGGGAGGCATTACAATGGGGGGAGGGAAATGCACTGGACTATGGTGAGGGCACATGGGTGATTTGGTGATGGGAAACCCAAGGGGATTGCAACTGAGATGGAAAAATGCACAAAAATATGTAAAAATAAATTATTATAAAATAAAAAATAAAAAGAAGGGAGGCATTAGAGTTAAAGGAACAGCCAGATTGTTCTGATCCAAACGATCAGAACAAAAGAAAGTATGGACTTTCCCCCTTATATAAAGTAACAAAAATGGCAAGACTGGACCATATAGAAACACCTTGGTAAAGGCAAGGCAAATAAAAAAGAGTAAAACACAGATGAGGCTAACTATCCCAACTTCAAAAAGAATGATTGTAATTTTCCATGGTCTAGTATGCTTCTATGTAGCATTTCTTCGCTCTTGGGATCAGACTAGGGAAGGCAGGTAAGCTTCGACTCCTAAATAGTTATTTGTCATAGTTCTGGTTTCCTAACCTAGGATCCTTCTCTTCCAAGATACCTTGTACCCACCCCCATGAGTCTTAGCTGCCAGATTAAATTTGTCATTATTCTTGTATTAAATCTTAGCACAAAACTACCCTGATATTTGTATTATTGAAGTACAGTGTCTCTTTCAAGTATTTATTTACATTAAGTACTGTTTTTCTGATTTTGTCCTCATCCAATCTCTTCATCTGTGTCATCAAATGTCAGAGCTACATATTCACAGTTAACCAGGATTCTCTAAAGATTGTTTTTATGAAAAAAATGTCTTATCATCTGGCATTGCGCAGTGTTACAACCTTTGTTTCAGTGATATCAACCAAGTGCTCCTTCTGTTCTTATATATTGTAGATGCTCTTGCAGTTGTTATAGAGGTGGCTAATCACGCTAATGACACCATGAAGCAAGGAGTGAGTATCATGACTTCGGTGGTTGGTGTACTGGTGAACCTGGGAGCCCACACTTTCATGTGTTCTACATTCTCTTTCTGTAGGACAACTTTCAGAAACTTATGCAAATCCAGTATAGCTTAAATGGACACCATGAAATAGTACAGCCTGGAAGGGTAAGTACTTTAGACAGTCTTTTGCAAATTTAACACTATGTATTTAGGCCCCACTTGTGTCTTTTTCATCTCATTTATGAAAATAGGCTTATTTTTTGTTGCTATTCTTCACTCATTCCGTTGAGATCAAGTAAGTTCATTCTACCCATTCAAATCAGCCTTTATTTAAGTTACTGTGACAAGAAGTCCAGTTCAATTTGGAGAAGGGAAAGGGATCCACAGAGTATCTGATTAAAGGGATCAGTTTATTGTGTAATACTTGCTGACCTCACACAGCTTTAAAGACTGTTTCATTTAAAATCTTTAATGTAATAGAGAATTATGAAGGGAAGGAGAAAACTGGTATTCTGGTGCTTCTCATAGAGCACAAAAGCAGCCTAAGGAATGACTTCAGGAAAATTACAAAATGCAGTTGTCAGGCTGTTGGCTGTGCTTCAGGATCAAGTACACGCTTGGTCAGTTACATTTCAGACCACATAACACCCCAGGGGCCAGTATTGGATTTGTGAAACTCTCTGGCTTGTCTAATTCCTAAGTGACTTACAGGGTTTAAAAAGAAACCATGATCATAAAAAAAGTCACAAACTGACCACCCAGTCCCCCATAAAGAAATTCTGGGGCCAGAAAATTATATGAACATGTTACATTGCAATTGTATTATGATAGTAGGACTAAATGGGCATTTGTTTGGGTTAATCAGGTTTTTCTCAAAGAAGGAACTCTGATGAAGCTTTCTCGGAAAGTCATGCAACCCCGAATGTTTTTCCTGGTAAGTGGTGATGTAAGGTTGTGTTGTACTGAAGGCAGGAGCAATTGCTTAATGGAAGATGTTTGTTCATAACAGAAGCTTAGCATATTCAAGGAACAGTTTTAATGGGATCTTTGACTGGCTGTATTGCTTATTTGCATTGCAAATATAGTAAAGAGCCTTCTCTGATGCCTAACCAGAACATTAATTCCTTTGTGAGTTTAGTTTATTTCATTTCTAATTTGCAAGAATTAATTCAATCAAACAGCAAATTGTGATGTGTTGTGTGTGAGACATAGATTTCAGAAAAGGTAAGTTCTGTTACAGAACTTGAAAGTAAGCACATTTTCTACAAATTACCTGTTTTAATAATCTAATAAAATATCCTAGGTGGTTCTAGTTTATATAAGCAGAGCATAAATATTTTATTTAGAGTTATTAGCAAAGAGGTAATGTTTCTTTTATTCCTGTATCTCATCAATATCTTTGTAGCTGATATTTGTTTCTTTATTGGGAAAACTTTCTGCTTTCAGTTTAATGATGCCCTATTATATACAACACCTGTGCAGTCTGGGATGTATAAACTGAACAACATGCTCTCATTGGCTGGAATGAAGGTTTGTGCATCTGTTAGAAGGTATTTTTTGACCCAAGTATATTTAGAGAAAAATCTCCAAGATAATTATCTTTCTCATATTCTTAATTCTTATCTCTTTCTTATGTTACATGACTACCATATATAGTTATTTGCTTACAGATTCATAATTTATTCATAGGATATTTATTAAGAACTACTGTAAACAAAGCATTTAGTAGGTTTGAAAAATACACTAATGGATTAAAGTATGATTTTTTTTTTTTTTTAAAAATCTACTCTTCCCAATCTCCCCAGGAGCTTAGCAATTTGAAAGATATTATACTATACATGAATACCCATAAAGTAGTCAGTAATGAGTAGCACTATGAAGGAATACGTTTTGGGGAGTTCACAAAATAAAGAATTTGGAACTTTCATGGGACATGGTAAAGGGGTTGCTGGCAGCTAAGAGAGAAAATTATGAAAGTCTTTTGGAGGAAGGGCCAGGAGCCTTTATAGACAGTCCCACATCTGACCCTGGTCACAGGAAGCAAAGTATGTGAGTTAGGGAACTTATACAACTTCATTGGGAGCCCAGAGGAGATGAGGGAAACTAGAGATAGAGAAAGCTGAATAGGGAGGTTGGTTGTGGATGTTAACAGCCAGGGTCATTGAGCAATTTCTGCTGTGCTTCTGAGATGAGATTTTCAGTAGGATGAATTTGCTCAAATTGTTTTGCTTTTTTTCAGGTTAGAAAACCCACTCAAGAAGCATATCAGAATGAACTAAAGATTGAAAGTGTAGAACGATCCTTCATCCTCTCTGCCAGGTAATTCTTTAAAAATGTATATAAATGAATGTTTACAAGAAGTACCAAGTCAGACATCACTAGTTTTTTTTTTTTCCAAAATTTGATTAATTACTAGATTTCCTCACTCTCTCCCCACATTATTATCCCCCGCCCCTACTTACTTTTTTCCCAAGTCTTTGCAGATTATACTTGCTTTACATGCAGATGAAAAAGCTGAGAGCTATCTTAATAGCACATTAGAGGCACAAAGACGTTCCTTTGAATAATAATGCTGTAAGGTAATTTGCTGATCATTTTTTAAGTGGATGATTCGAATTTTTTTAAACTGGCACATGCTATTTTTCAAAGTGCCCAGTACTTTATAGTTTACTGGGAAGTGTTTAAATAACCTTGACAAAATTCTGCAATTCTACATCATATTAAAACATGAGGAAGTTAATTAAGAAAAGCAAGTTCAGAAGAAATACAGAGGAGGTGGGAGAGAGCTTAGCATATTAATGGGGCAGAGAGAAGTCCCACACAGAAAAATTATGTTCCAGGAAAGGTTGAATGTGAGGTATATCGCTGGGTCTGGATCATGCGGGGCCTCTTAGACTTTAGGAAGGTATTGAATGAAAGGCCATCCAGGATTTTAGGCTTAGAATTGATGTGTATTTTCATATTGTTAAAAGAGCATACTGGTTGCTTGGTAGAAGATTGAGCAGAAATTGGGACACCATGTAGGTCATCTGCGATAATGGGCCTTGGAGAGAATGACATGAAGTCATCAGAATCCAGCAGAACTGATAGGCTTGCTGGTGGATTTGTAACAGGGTGGTCCCCAGGAAAAGGGGAGGTTCCAGGTTCCCTGCTTCACCCAAAAGGAGGGTGGAACTGAGCAGGGAAGAGAAAATCTGGAGAGGAGACTGAGGAGGAAGGAAGCAGGGTGGAGAGCCAGAGGGAGACCTGAGGAGGCTCAGGGAGCAGAGAGACATGTGAAGAAACTGCACTTGCTTCTTTTTGGTCCTGGGCTGGTTGGAACAGATGTGAGTGAGAGACCTGTGGGGAGGTTGACTATAGCAGCATTTATCTTGATTTTGATTTTGCTCTTTTCCTCCCAGACTTGTCTGGCCATTTCTGACCCTTTTCTATGAGTCCCAGCCGGAAGGGGCTTTAGGCTCGTGGCAGCTTTCAGGCCTTTCTTTGGGCCAGTCCCTATTGGGTAGACTTTTACCCTTGAGGGGATAGGTAACTTTGGGTGTTTAATTTAGAAACTATATTCTTTATGTTTGCTATATTGCACACTGATTGTATTAAAGTTCCTTCCCATTAAAGGTCTTATATGTCTTGTCTTGATGCAGCGAATGGCAGAACCTACTCAGAGAAGGCAGGGTTGGGGATTCAGCTGTGTCCCTCCCTCCCTCCCTGCATTGTAACAGATTAAGTGTGGGATATGTGGAAAAATCATAAAATTGGCAAGTTCTTGATAAAACAAAAGTAAATTTCTAAAGTGGCATTGGGGAAAGGGAAACAACACATACCGAGCTGACAAGTGTCTCCTCCTTCTGAATCCCAGTTAGTGAGGCAGGTATTGTATAACATACAGAAAAGGGATGGAAAGGACTTTTCAATCTGGTTCCTATATGCTCACCAGCCTGATTTCCATCACTCTACCATCAAAGCATGGCCTATCAGCATGGGTCAACTTGTGGTATTTCATGCACACCAGCCTACTTCACAGCCTTCTGCCTTACACAGGAAGTCACCTTTGCCTGGAATTCATCCCTCATCCACTCTGCAATATGGGGTCTTTACTCTGGGCCAGCCATTGTCTTAGGAATCTGGACATAGTGGGGGATATAGTAGAGAATGAAAGCTTATAATTCATTTGAGAATATATATGCATAGCAGATATTAGCAAAATCAATTATTATTGTGCTTAAGAAGTACATAGGAAAGCTACCAGGTGCTGAGGCTGCAATACAAGGGGTTTTGAAATAAGTTTGGTGGAGAAAGGACCCTGAGTGATAGTTTCTGTTAAATCACAAAGCTAAGTAGGAATTAACTAGATAGCAACAATGTGTCATTAGCACCAGTGTATACTAAGCCTGAGGTGGAAAGGGGCTTGGCATATTCAAAGATCTGAAATGCCAGTATGCCATGAGAATTGAAAACGAGGGACAGTGACCCTGGATAAGCCTGCAAGGACCAGTGAGGTGACCAATGCAGAACTACTTGTAGAATTTGGTCTACATGCGTAAGAGCCAAAGGAGAGTATTAAATGGTTTATTCAAGGAAATGATGTGATCAGATTGGCACTCTTAAAAGAATGTCTGGCCGCTGTGTGGAAAATGGTTTGTGAGTGGAAGTAAAGGAGTATATTCATTGGAGGTAGGGGATGAGAAAAAGGGCATTACAAATGCTTTCTTTTGCAATGTGCTAGGTGGTGGTGCCATACACTGTGATCAGGAATACTGGGCAAGGAGCATCTGAGGAAATAAAATCAACAGTTTCATTTCTTTTTTTTTTTTTTAAGATTTATTTATTCATACAGAACTGGGGTACAGGCCAGAGATGCGGAGGGTGAGAGGACTCACCAGGGACAGAGTGGGGAGCAGAACAGGCAGATCAAAGAAGTACACTGCTCAGAGGAGCAGTGGGCAGGTCAGGAGAGGTCTGCCTCGCCATGTGGATCTCCTCCAGGGCAGGCGGGGATCGAACTCATGCGGAAATGGCTTAAGCTTCTTTGTGCTGTGCTTTAACCCGCTTGCCACCAGGGAGGGCCCCAATTTCATTTCTTTTTTTTTTTTAAGATTTATTTATTCGTACAGAACTGGGGTACAGGCCAGAGATGCGGAGAGTGAGAGGATTCACCAGAGACAGAGCGGGGTGCAGAACAGGCAGATCTACGAAGTACACTGCTCAGAGGAGCAGTGGGCAGGTCAGGAGAGGTCTGCCTCGCCATGTGGATCTCCTCCAGGGCAGGCGGGGATCGAACTCATGCGGAAATGGCTTAAGCTTCTTTGTGCTGTGCTTTAACCCGCTTGCCACCAGGGAGGGCCCCAGTTGCATTTCTTAATGTTGCAATACTGGATGTGAAATCTCTATGAATCATCAAAATGGAGCCATCAAAGAGGTAGCTTATGTGAGGATCTGGACATCAGAAGCAATCCTGGACTAGAACTTACATTAAGAAGCCACCAGCCCACATGTAACAGCAGCCAGGAGACTGAATGAGTGGGCACAGAGAGCCTGGAAAGCTACCTGTCAAACTCTTTACCATTCTTCACATCACCTGTGCAGAGCCTTCTCTGCTACCTGCTGTTACTTATTTACCTTTATTATATCATCTCATGTGGCAATTACTTGTTTCTGTGTTTCACCTCAGTGAGCTGTGAGCTCACTAGTGAGGTGTTTTTGATATCCGTAGCTGAGTGGGCTCCCAGTAAATGTTACCTAAATCATTTGAATTAAAGTTAAGTGACTTGTGAAACAGAACAGCATCTGACAGCTAACACAAGTAGCAAGTGGTGTGCCAGGGCCTTTCCTCTTAAAATGTGTCCCACTCAGAGGGAGGGTGGTGCTTCTTCTATACAAGTTTGCTTTCCAGTTGTTCTCCATAAAAGAAAAAAAAAAAAAAAACAAAAGTAAATTTCTAAAGTGGCATTGGGG